AGTTTTATGCTATTAGCTATGTTATTTAGTGGGTGTATGCTGTATTAATTCATACTTGCAGACGAGGAGTTTCCATGTTATCCCTGTACAACTGCATATATTTTTGTCTAATGTTCAGTTGGATCTTTTTGTTTAGAATGTGATTTGTTTCGCATCAAGCTTGAATTTAAATGTATTTTCTGCTATTAGTAATTGATTGTCAGGTGCTAGAAACTAACCAGTTTCTGTATGTAATCAAGGATGAAATGCTAATATACTCCCATTTGTTATATTGTTGAGGTTTTGAGTATTGAAGTTGTAACAGCCCGAGCTCATCGAGCAGATATTGTCCTTTTTGGGCTTTTTCTTCCATGCTTAGCTCAAGGTTTTAAAACGCCCCACTAGAGAGGTTTCCACACTCTTATAAAGAATGCTTTGTTCCATCTCCAACCAATCTCACACCCCAGAACTCTGATACCATTTGTAATAGCCCAAGCCCACTACTGGCACACCACTGCTAGCAACCTGCTTGGTGTCTGGCTTGTGCTGTTACCCTCGAACCCATGCGCGATTGGCCACTTGTGTGCCATCTTGCATAGTCGTGCCCATGCCTTGATTCGAGCCTCGACTAACCTAATTTTTGAAGCATTCCTTGTAAGAGTGTCAAAATATCTCCCTCATAGACGCGGTTTAAAACCTTGAGGAGAAGCCCGGAAGGGAAAGTCTAGAGAGGATAATATCTGCTAGCGGTAGGCTTGGGCTGCTGCATAAATATTATATATTTCCACTTTCCCTTCAGCTATTTACCTTGTTTTACATTATTGTGGATGTATTTGCAGTTAGATTGAATAACTTTGTTTAATTTCAGGGATCATCTCCATCTTTATCTTGGTTGCTTATCTTGCATGTAGCTAGATGTCATAAATTTTATAGAAAAATGTATCCTGTTAGATGATGTGATTCCTCATAAATATAGCTCCAATTTAGCAAAAGAAAACCGTTAGGTTGGCTATCAAGTTTAGTAGTACATGCGTAGATTTTAGCTTTGTGGTCAAACGTAACCTGCTATCATCTCATGTTCTTTGGTTCAATCATATTCGGGCTCCTTTAATTTACGTTCAAAGGGTTAAGACAAAATAAACTCTATTGCTTATTTTCTTCAGCATATTTCAATTATCTGCCTTTTAGTATATTCATCCAGTCAAGATAGGAAGGTTTTCCTGTCTATTGAGATGAGACCAAATGCTTTCTCTGACTTGTTAAATTCACGTGCCCTGCATCTTCATGATCCGCTGCTTTACCTTCCCATTTGTTGTTCTGAATGTGTCAGGAACTGAATGCTCAGAAGCAAGTGAATATGCAGATGGAACATGGCAAAGAAAACAGGAACGATTTGTTGGAGTATCTGCGGTCTTTGGATTCTAATATGGTACTTCATTTTTTTTTGGTGCATACGTAACTCTATTGTTGTGCATATATGCCTTTATTTTCCTTGTTGGAAGTAAGCCCGTGCTGATTGTTACCCAAGCTGTTGAACTTCTTCTTCATTCTGGGTGCCCTCATACTTATCTCCACGTTTATTATTTAGGTGACTGAACTCTGCAAACCATCTACATCGGAGGTGGAGGAAATCATTCACGAGCTTGTTGGAAACATATTGCAAAGGTTCTTCAAAGATGATGCTAGCTCTACTTTCAATGAGGATTCGAGTGTGGCGGATTTAGAGAAACTTGCAGATGTTGGCAGTGAGTTTTGTGATACTGTAGGCACTTCTCGGGATTACCTAGCAAAGCTCTTATTCTGGTTAGTTAAAAATTCCATGGTTAAACAAACTAAGAACTTGGAACTTTGAAGCAAGACATGTTTTAGGCTCTAAGAATAATATTGGAATGAGGCGCATGTCCAATGATCTAACTTGTTGATCTGCTGCAGGTGTATGTTATTGGGGCATCACTTGAGAAGCTTGGAGAATAGACTTCAGTTAAGCTGTGTCGTTGGGTTGTTATGATTTGTAAGATGAAGGGAAGTGTACATTCTTTCTGTACCCTACACCACCCCACCCCCAAATGTCTTTATATTATGTCCATACCTTACCTTTCTATAATTGCTTTTTTTTTTTTTCTCCTTTCAATAAAAGGTTTAATTGGGTGACTATCTATGTCCATCCAGCAAAACTTCTATTACGCTAGCATGACGTTATAACAAATTTATAATGTTACAAGTTCGAAATATATAACAAATTTATCAACTAATCAACGAGTGCTTTGGTGATGTGAGTTAGAGTTTGAGTCTAAAAAAATGTTTTAACCCGACTCAATTCAACAATTATAATCTATTTAAAATTTTAAATATCTTTTATATTAATCGATTTTATACGATGAAGAGGGAGAGAAGTTTAAAATGACTATTTACGGAAGAAAATTTTAAATATCTTTTATATTAATGAATAAATATCATATCTTCTATATTAATTGAATATTAATTGATTTTATATGATGAAGAGTAAGATAAGAGAAGAAAATTTTAAATATCTTTTATATTAATGGATAAAATTTTAAATATCTTTATTAATTATTTTATATGATTTACGGTAGGAAATATCTAAAATAACTTTTATATTAAATTTTTATTAGGAAAATTTTAAATATCTTTTATATTAAATTTTTATTAGGAAAATTTTAAATATCTTTTATATTAATTAATATAAAAAAAATTTAGATATCTTCTATATTAATTGATTTTATATGATGGAGAGTGAGATAAGTCTATTTAAACTCTTATATTAATTGATTTGAAGAGTGAGAGAAGTCTATTTACAAGAAATATCTGTTTAGGGGAGATAGCAGTTAAGTTTGTTTTGAAACACTGTTCATTCCATTTGAAACGGTTTAGGGGAAGGAACACTATTCATTTAAGTTGTAAATCGGTTCAGGGGAAGGAGCAGTTAATATTCATTTCAGTTTGATTCGAAACACTATTCATTTATCGGTTCAGGGGAAGGAACACTATTCATTTCAGTTGTAAATCGGTTCAGGGGAAGGAGCGTTAAGTTTGATTCGAAACAATCGGTCGGTTCAGGGGAAGGAGCAGTTAAGTTTGATTCGAAACACTATTCATTTTCTGTACCAACCAGTAAATTAGTTCAGGGGAAGGAACACTATTCATTTCAGTTGTAAATCGGTTCAGGGGAAGGAGCAGTTAAGTTAAGTTAAGTTAAGTTTGATTCGAAACAATTCAGGGGAAGGAGCAGTTAAGTTAAGTTAAGTTAAGTTTGATTCGAAACAATCGGTCGGTTCAGGGGAAGGAGCAGTTAAGTTAAGTTAAGTTTGATTCGAAACAATTGGTCGGTTCAGGGGAAAGAGCAGTTAAGTTTGATTTGATTCGAAACAATTGGTCGGTTCAGGGGAGAGCAGTTAAGTTTGATTCGAAACACTATTCATTTTTTGGACCGTAAATCAGTTCAGGGGAAGGAGCAGTTAAGTTTGATTTGAAACACTGTTCATTTTCTTCCTCTTATCTCCTTCAAGAAAAGATCTACCATTCATTTTCGGTTCTTCAAATAGCTTTGTTGAACGAATCCTTGGTTCAGTGAGGGTGATTGCGAAACAAGTTGGTTCAGTGAGGGCGACCGCGAAAGTCACCGAATGGGTCAGTCCTCCCACTTTTTCGACTGAGATTCCAGCTGCACAAGTAAGAGCATCTTGGGTCAGTCCTCCCGCTTTTCCGACTGAGATTCCAGCTGCACAAGCAAGAGCACCTCCACCAGCTACGTCCATGTCCATCTACTACCCTGAGAACCTTATTGAACTCTTTTACTCTCCAAAGATGAAAGACTCAACCTCGAACTTTTCTTCCACTCGTTCTCCTCTTTGCTTTCCCTTCAAACACTCGGTAAATAAATAGGTGTTTTCATCTTCCGTCCTGGACTGATTGAGAACCTTCTTGAACTCTTTTACTCTCCAACAGTAAAGGAGAAAGTCTCAACGTCAAACTTTTCTTTTACTCGTTCTCTTCCCTTTGCTTTCCCTCCAAACACTCGATAAATAAACAAGTGTTTTCATCTTCCGTCCTGGACTGGTTGAAAAAGATAATTATCATTCGTGAAAAGGTACTGGTACAAAGATCTTAGACTTTCAAAAAGATGGGGAAGATGAATTATCCTATCGAAAAGGTACTGTTACAAAGATCGTAGACTTTCAAAAGAGATGGGCGAAAGCTATTCATGACTTTTATATCTATGTCAAATATTGAGTTTTAAACCCATTTTTAAAAATTTATGCAGTTATTATTTTTTTCAGTTTTATTTTAAAAAAAAGTTCAAGAAGATCGGAGTAATTAATAGGAAAGAATAGTCACATACCGACTCAATTGACTTTATAGGATATAAATTTATATTTAAAAGTACAACATGTTTATTGCTTGTTGTTTTGTCGTTTTGTCAGGGTCAATAATATTGCTTATTCGAGTGAGTTTTATGGGCTGATTGGACCCGAATCTTCTCAAGCTCAAGCATTTACGTTTCTAGTTAACGTCTTGTAGATAACGCTTGATTCGCTCTTATAAATATCTGATGTGTTATGTTTTTTTTAAATTACGAAGAATACCACATTATATTCATAATTTTATAACGTAATTAAAATTTTAATTATCAAATAATTAAAATAATTTGAATAAAGATGTAATCGACATTTAATAAATTAATAAATTATAAATTGTTCTGCTATCACTAAGAAATGAATCCATTAATTAGCAATTTAAATATAGAATAAAATCTCAACCATTTAAATCTTACTCTATATATCTTTTCACCTAATTTTTAATTATAATTAAAATAAATTTTTATTTATATACTAAAATGATACAACATCCAAAATAATTCGGAAACATATCAAATTTTTTTTTATGAATTATTATTTATTTTTTCGTAAAAAAAAAAAACAGGAAATAATTAATTTTTGGACGTACTATTTTATCCCACCTTTACGCTATGCTCACGTGCCCCTGACCCTCGCTTGGTGACTGGGGAGTGTAAAGTCCATTTACCCACCTTCTTCCTGCAATTGAACCTTTGATTCTCTATATTGCCAATCTAGGGTTTTCTCTTGAATTTCTCCTTTTCCTCCTCTTCTATTGAATCCTTCCCATTCGCTCACTCTCTTCTACTTTGTCGGGATGAAGCTTACGGTTAAGACCCTGAAAGGGAGTCACTTCCAAATTGAGGTTCAGCCTACAGACACCGTGAGTTTTTCTTTTTCTTCTCGCCATTTGATTTCTCGCGCTATGTTTGGTTGTACAGCAAATGAAAATTTATCGGTTTCAGATAAAGAGTATTGAATTTCTGCTAGTGTATATATGGAGTTTGGTGGATAATGTACCTGGGGCAAAAGGGTCTCTGACGTTTTATTTTCCTTGGCGATTCTTTTAATTGAAATTTTGAAGTTTTATTTAGGGTTCATCATTCCACCTATTTGAATCGGTGGTATTTCAGTTTTTTTTGTATATCGGTTCCCTTACAAATTGTTGTTTTTATGTTTATTTTGTCTATTTATTCGTTAATTGCATTCCTAGTTAGGATTTTTTTGATTGAGATGCCTTCTGAAACCCATTTTGAATTTCGAAGTTCAATTTCTTCCGAGTATGCCACAATGTTTCATTTGAAATTATAATTCAGCTTTAGTTTTCATGTCATGCTCTATTTGCTTTTTTCCGTGGCTTGGAGCAACTAAATTGTTTATTTGTCTTCCTACTTTATATAATCATTATATTTAATAGTACGTGATTTACATTTGTATGGTTTTTATTCAGATTGAGGTTTGTGTCTTATCTCTTTGTGAGAAAAAGTGTTGATATCGACTTTGAGCCTTTTAGAACAGTGATGGTGTCATGAAGGATTAAATAAATCATTTAGAGAGAAATAAACTAAATGAGCGTCTCTTGTTTCTTCTTTTTATTTTATTTTTCATGTAAATGATCTATTTACCTATTCTACATCTGATATAAGTAGGCGATGGACTGCAATCTTGGGAAGACAATTGTTGGTATTCTTCCTGCTGTGTCTTTTTTCAATTTGTGTGCCCCCACCCCTCACATATCTTCTCTCCACTTCGGAGGTTTTTGTTTGGGACTCTTTTATTTGGAACTTGTCCTTTACATGGCATTTGAGACATGAGGAAAATAAGGACTGGGCATGTATGAAAACTATCTTAGGAAATTATCACTTAACAAACAGGACAACTGCTATTTGGTTGGATTGTTAGTAAATTTTTTGTTCTGTTTCTTTGCACTGTCCTTCTAATTCGCATTTATATTAAGTTGATTTCAAGATTGAAGGTTCCTGCGGATATTCAGGGTTTTGTTTGGATGCTGGCTTTTAGAATGATTAATACTAATGATAAAACTTAAAAGAGGTACTATCTCATGTCACCTAATCTTCTTGTAACTAGCGTGTGCTTGTTTCTGGTATGCCCTTGTACATTCTTTCATTTTTCTCAATGGAAGCTCAGTTTCTTACTTAAAAAAAGGTCTTCTACCCTTCTGAAGTACATTCTCCACTAAAGGAAAGAGAATGACATTCAACACTTGTTTGTTCACAATCGCCTTGGCTGGAACTCGTAAGATATATTGTGGAACATTTTTGAGCTACGTTGGGTTGCTCCCATCTTGGTTCACTTTTCATTTAACTTATTCCCCCTCCTCAAAGGGCTTGTCTAAATTCTCTTGTGGGATGCAGTTTTTGCTACTTTTATGAAATAGCAGAAGTCAGTGATAGAATTATACTTCCTGTGGGAGGTTAAGGTCATGAGATGTGGGGCTGATTGTGTATAATGCGTCTCTAAGGGCTTCCCTTCTCTCTCCCATCAGTTTTGTCTGCTTAGTGCTTAGAATTGTGCTAGTGATCACATCTACGACATTATTTTATGCCTGTTTTTATGACTTCAACTCCTAGTGTCCCAGCCCTTTATTAGCTTTATTTATTGAACTAATATTTGTGTACCATTAATTGTACCTACAACATTATTTTATGTCATATTATGTTCTTAGGAGAAGTATATTGTCCATTGAATAGATGAACATATGTTGGTGATTTGTGAATCGAGCTGGTGATTTTAGTTAAAATATCTCTAGCATAGGAAGTATTTTTATTTTTATTGAATATTCTACATTTTTTCCACCTAACTAGGTTTTGGGTGTAAAGAAGAACATTGAAGATGCACAAGGAACAGATAGTTATCCTTGTGGTCAGCAACTGTTAATCCACAATGGGAAGGTTCTAAAAGATGAAACAACGCTGTCAGAGAACAAGGTTACTGAAGATGGTTTTCTGGTTGTCATGCTTAGTAAGGTATGTTGTGTTGTAGCCAACTTGGACATCCTTTCCGAAACAATTAAGCTTCCTTTCTGATTATTATCTTGCTTCATATTAAATGACTATGGTGGACTGCTACATGATAATCTTCTTTTCTATCATGAGAATTAGTGATTAAACTCTTCGTAGTTTGCTATTAGTATACGTCTTGTTGCTATAGTGGTCTAATGATTGTTGATGTCCAACATCTTTTAACATGCAAATTTATATTAATTTCAATTCAACACCAAAGGGTATGACCTCCTACTTTTTCTCTGTACAAACCCCTCCCCTATCCTTTGTACACTTGGCTGCCAACCACCTAGCTCACTGGAGCTCCAACCTTCCCTCCCACCATGGTTGGCCGGCCTTTCCCACACTCTGTCACTTTTTCCATGGGAAAAAAAACTCTCCGTTGATAAAGCATAGGGTTTGTGCATTATATAGACCTCAAGCAATCGGTCCCTCATGTTCACCTTGAAGAAAACCTCTCCGCCCTTTGCTGACAACAAGCTTCTCAGCTTTACTGGATACCTTGAATACATGCTTTGGTATGAAAAGATATCAAACAGAGAAGGCCACTTTGTTAGGATTGCCAAGCTTGGAGTAAACGATTGTTTAAATAAGCTCATCATACCTGTGGATGAAAACAAGATTGTTGGAAAAACTTCCTTTCTCTTCTTAAAGGTCTCAACCACCAGAAAACTCCATCTTTATTTCCCAAGTCCACTTTTAAGGAAGTATTGAAGGCTTTCATTCCCCAAAAATCCGTTACTCTTACTCTCCAAGACAGCTCCACAGCAAACACCCCCCCCACCCACCACCAACCTCATTGGAACTTGCTGCCTTCTACCTTGACAAAGGCATATTATCAATCCTAAAACACCTCCATGATGATTAGTATGAAATCCTAAGAGCAATGCAACTGAAACTCACATGTTTTGGGTCCATTAAGTCCTCTACAACCCAACAAAGCAATTTTAGCTGTTGATAACAAGGAACAAGGCTGAATTTTAGCGTTGGTGCATTTATGGTGAAATTTGAACAATGGAGTCGGGAGAATATAGTCCATCCCAATTGAAATATTGTCTTGTAAAGCCTTCAGACAAATCAGAGACCTTAGTGATGAGTGTGTTGAAACAACAAAGAACACTCACAAGAATGGACATGATGGAGGTATGCTTGTAGATTAAGGAAGACCCCCATGGTTTTATTCCAACCATTCTAAATCTCGCATCATCCACTGCCTCAGTGACAGTCCAAATAGATTTTTTGTTTTGTTTTGTTTTCTTTTTGTTTTTAATGTTGACCCTTTCATCGAAGAAATTGTTGGAATCCATGAAAAAATCCCACTGACCTCACCAGAGATTTCATCTATCCACCCCATTTCCATTAAAACCCTTCTGGCCATTGGATCCACACGAGTCCCTTTATTCTTGCCCCTTCGTAGACCCAAACCTTTCCATGCACTAGTCCCCATCCCAGCTTCATCAGATCCATACCTAGAGCTGCACAACCTTTATTAATCCCCTGTACCTTCGTCTGGCACTTTTCCTTATCATATTTGACCTTCCCCCCTTGACTTCGTTTTCTCTTCCTCCCATAAAAGAATTCTTTATGGTTGGGATTGAACCAAACCAAGTTGACCCAACCCAGCCAATTTCCCCGCCCCATCCACAGCATCACATTTTTGGCCAAAAATGTGATGACCATTAATAATAAAATAACCCACATTCTCACTGACACCATTCGCCGTTCGACGCTTGGTCATCTCTCTATAGACCCAAAGTTGATGCCTCTGCTTTATTTCACCTCAACGATTTGCTCCATTCTTTTCCACTTCCTAACCCTGCTTCCCTCTCAATTGCCTCTCTTTTCGATTTGTCTTCCTGCTCCAGTGAGCCCATTCGTCTTCTTCCTTCCCCAACACAGAACATGGCCCTCATCATTGAGCTTCTTGGAAGTTCTGTCCTAGAAAAAGTTTACCGGAGGTTGACATTGAAGCTTAGGTTTGCCTTTCACATGCTCTTGAAACAACCAATCTTACTGCTTCGCTTGATAGTTGGTGCTGGAATTTAGAGAAAATTGGAGTTTTTCTACTAAATCTCTCTCTATCTCTTTACCTGTGAGGCGTGAAACGATCCGACCTCTACACATCCATATGGAAAGGCATATACCCCAAGAAGGTAAGTTTTTTTTTATCTTGGAATTAATTCACACCTGTCTAGACACTCATGACAAGCTGCAGTGGCGTTCTCCTTGGTTCTCTATTTCTTCTCATTGCTGAATTATGTGCAGAAGTGACAGGGAAACACAGAATCACTCATTCTTTTGTAACCAGTGTCTGGTATTCCAAAGCTGTAGTTCTTCGGGAACTGAAGCCTAGATTTGCTTGTGGGAAATAGTGTGAACCTTTATTTTTCTGTTTGATGTTCACTACCTATTTGGTTTCAGATCATATCTTTATTTGTCCTATAAAAGGAGGAGCGGCAGTTCTATCAAATTTACAACTTTACATTCTCAAACTCCCAAGTATGTCATTTAAAGGTTTTAAATGTAGTTAAATGAAATCCATCAGAGCTATCATAAGTAATGAATGTCACAGGAGATTATATTGTTATTCTCTCCATTATCCACCTAAATAGTGGTTGCATTTATCCATGGATCTTTGAAGAGATTTGGTTAAACTTCAGACCTAGTAATAAATCCTTGTCATCCCTTTTCCTGAGATTCCTGAATTCATATGTTTTTCAATTGTTCCCCTCACTGATTTCCTTTATACAGAGTAAAGCACCTGGTTCAACTGGGTCATCGTCTACTCAGGTTTAATGTCTTTCTTTATTATTTTTATTTGGGGGTTATGTAATTAGTTCATATTTGCCTCTGAACTGGTGTCTATCTGTGTACTTGACAGACGACTACCAATGTACCTACAACTACTCCAACACCAAATTCTACTTTGATTCCTGAAGCTCCCGCACAACCAGCGTGAGTCTATTGATTATGCCAACTCAACTTATTGTCTCTCTTACCCCTTAGCAGCTTATCAGCTTGATAATTATAGATGTTTCTCTGTGATTGCTTTTTCAGAGCCTCGAGGAATGTTGCTACTTCAGATGTGCCAACTGCAAAGTATGATCTTGGTTTTTGCTTATTATTTATATCATTATGTATCTGTTGCGAAGTTTTTGCGTTGACTTTTGAAGTTCCTTAATGTGATTAGGACAACTGTTCAAACTTAAATAGCATGAAGTATCGAATATTTTGTTATGCTGCAGTACTCAAGTTGATACATACGGACAAGCTGCTTCAAATTTAGTTTCTGGAAACAATCTTGAGCAGACTATTCAAGAAATAATGGATATGGGTGGTGGTAACTGGGATAGAGAAACAGTTACTCGTGCGCTTCGAGCAGCCTATAATAATCCTGAGCGGGCAGTAGATTATTTGTACTCCGTATGTTTTTACCAATTTGCCAATAGTATTTTCAGTTGTTTTTCTTATTCTTTTTTTTTTTTAAAATGTTACTGAACTTGGCTTTATATTCAGGGTATTCCAGAAGCTGCAGAAATTGCAGCCCCTGTGGCCCGTCCTCCGTCTAGCCAACCTATAGAAACAGGTGGTGTGACTGCTCCTACTTCTGGAGGTCCCAATTCATCTCCCTTGAATATGTTCCCACAGGTAAAAGTTTGTACTTGGTCGAAATTTTGTCCTTTTTATTCCTTTTAAATTCTCACTGAGAGCTAGTATTTTAGGAGTCCCTTGCTGCTGCCGCTGCCGCTGCTGGTGGTGGAGGTAGCCTTGGATCCCTTGAGTTCCTTCGAAACAACCCACAGGTATGCTTTAATTTTTCTCGCTTTTCTTGTTTATGTAGGACTATTGTTTGGAAATGCCTACGGCCTTCTGATGACTTTCTTACTGGTCATTATGAAGAATAGTTTAGGTCAGAACATATCATTAATCTTTGCTGCCAAGCTACTGAGCTTTGGCTTTTGCTTTTGCTTTGAAGTGTCTTGTTAATTGAAAAGATGCTCGGTCAGACTCGAGCATAGCCTTCCAAACAATTGAATGGCAAAGTTTTAAAAAATATATTTAAATATTTACTCTGATATGATCTGTTTAGGCATCTTTTCTTGTATTAATGCTGATAAATTTGATATGTATTGTTACCATCCACACTATTATAGTTTCAAGCATTGCGGTCTATGGTGCAAGCAAATCCACAAATATTACAGGTCTGTGCTATTCTTTTTCCTTTCTCGTTGATTTCAAATTTATGCATCCTTTTGGCTATATTTAAAACTGTTAACTCGGCTTCTGTTTCAGGCAATGCTTCAGGAACTTGGGAAGCAGAATCCTCAGCTTTTGAGATTAATCCAGGATCATCAAGCAGAGTTTCTCCAGTTAATAAATGAGCCTCTTGAAGGCTTCGAAGGGCAAGTTTTCTCGTCCATTTGTGGCCAATGATCTTTTTGTTTGTCAATTGAAATTTAGAAGACATCCAAATTTTCATTTTCTTCCAGGGATCTGTTTGATCAGCCTGAGCAAGACATGCCTCATGCTATCAATGTCACACCAGCTGAGCAGCAAGCAATTGAACGAGTAAGTTATCTGCCCTTGTATAATACTTCCAAGTATTGAGCAACAATCGGTCTGCTTACCATCTCCTCACTTACACGCATTTCAGCTCGAAGCATTGGGGTTCGATAGGGATCAAGTCATTGAGGCATTTTTAGCTTGTGACCGAAACGAGGAATTGGCTGCCAACTATCTCTTGGAACATGGTGGCGAATTTGAGGATTAAATGGTGAACTTCATCACATTCGATGAATAGTTTTTTTTTTCCTTCTCGTTGTTTAGACAAATCCATGATATTTGTTAGCTTCTAAGTTTCAAACTTTCTTGCCGAACTGCCAATAATTTGTTTTTCTTTTGAACTTTAATAGTTAATTGGCACATATGAATTCATCAAATATAGAACGTCGAGAGAGTAACGATTAGACTATAAGCTCAAAGCTAGTTTGCTTGTGTTAACGTTTCAGGTAACGTCGAGCGTGGCGTAATTAGACATTTGAAAAGGTGGGGTTTCTTGATTTCTATTGCTTATTCTTTGAACAGAATTGAAGTTATACTGTTCAATCAACGAGGACAAAAAATGCAGAAATCCCTATGGCAGTGAAGAGTGTGTCTTTTGGGCGAAACAACGCAACAGAGTTCTCTATGATGAAACCAGTTTCGCTTGTTTATCTGTTTGGATGTGTTTGATAACTTGGTTTAAAGCTTAGATTTCTATCACCAAATTCCCCCCTTTTTGTCTTTCAAATTTCAAGTTTTCAATTTTAAAAGTAGTTCGAAGAAAATCTCTTCTCTCGAGTTTTTTATCGCTAATTTGTGTATCAGTTAAACTTATGTTTCTCGAAGCTCAATTGTTAAAATATTTACGAAGAGTTTTACATTATTATTATTTTTTGTTTTAGTCTAATTCGAGGAAATAGAAAGTTCAGGGTTTTGGTTGTCACATTTAACCCGTATATATGTTTATATATGTGTGTATTTATATATATATATATGTGTGTATATATATATATATATATAATTTAGAAATATACGAAGAAAGAAAAAAACAAGAAAATTTTGTTTAAAGGTCTAGTTTTTATTTATTTTATTACGTGGTTAACTTATAAGTTAGGTTCTGCATTTCTAAAATTCTCGAATTTATCGAATATAAAATTGAAAAGGTAAGAATTTGTTTAATACTTTTAAAAATTCAGCAATATTTTAAACTAAAAGAGTAAAGATGGAGCTACGGTAAATAACAAAATAGTATTTTAATATTAAAATCAAGTTTTTTTTTTCTTAATCATTTTTATTTAGAAGATATTATTTAGACACGGTTTACTCTTCCTTTATAATATATCGGTTCCATTTGGTTTCTCCATTTTTTTTGTGTTTCTCGAGATTCTCAAATGATTAGAGAGCAACTCAAGGGCTCAAACTTCATGGCGCTAAGCGAAAATCAAAAGCTTTTTCTCTCCCTAATTAACGAATACGCGGCCGAAAAATCGCAAGGAGGTATTTCTATGAAAGAACGATGTTAAATCCTTAGAAAATGTTCTTTTCAAAATGCTAGCGTTTAATACTGTATTCCGATCAGATTTGTAGTTGAATATTCGTGATTGTAGAGGAATTTATGATGATAAGGAGGTATTTCTATGTAAGAACAAATGTTAGAATCATAATGCTAGAAATTTTTACTGTATTTGATCAAACTTGTTTCGGAAAGGCAAGTCTCTGGTTGAGTATTGGCGATTCTACCAGAATCTAGGTTGATGAGGAGGTATATATGCTTGAACACTGTTGAATCTCTGAAAAATGTTGTAATCGAAATGCTAGCAATGATTACTCTGTTCGATCAGACTTGTTTCCTAAAAGTAATCGTCTGATTAAAGTATTCGCGATTGTACTAGAATTTATTATGAAATTTGACGAACTTAACGATGCAATTCCTTAATTCTTTCGTTTCGTGAAGAAGTTTTAAGGAATCTTATTCGTATTTTTATCAATGCAGAGCAAAGCGTTGTTGTTTTGAAGAAGAGAACGGAAGAACTGCGATCTGAGCTGGAAGTGGCCAATGTGGAGCTCGAAAATGTCAAGCGCGTCAAAGAAACCACTGAACAAGAGCTTAAAGGCTGTGAAGTCGAATTGTCTCTGAATGAGACTGCAATTCAGACTCTCGAAGTTCTATTTCTATTTCTCTTACATTTCACTTTTATAAGTGCATCACCGTTAATTGTTCTTTTGCTTCTTAAATTTAATTTATCCACTCCAGGCAAGAATCTCCGTGCTGCAAGGTGAAATTGCATCTGTTGGATCTGAGTTAGACTCTCTGAAGGTACTGAGTTGAGTAACTTATTTATTAAATTGCATCTGTCTTGTATTGTTTTCTCACACTCTCTTGATTCTCTTCAAAACATACTGGGATGTGGAATCCTGCCGCTGGACCATAAAAGGTTGTAGGAGGAGCCACGAGGTTGATAATCGTCTATCTTTTGTACTTTACATTCTATTTAAATAGAATAAAATTCTTAGTGAAGTGCAATTCAATGGCTTAGATTACTATGGAAGTGATGAGATCTTATTGGCCATGCAGGGACCAGTTTATCAATCACCTTTTAGACCTTAATAAAAAAATCAGGTCCGTCTTCTATTTTAATGCAAGCCACTTGCACTGTGAATGCATGCACATATGCTTCCCTTTTCCTTTACTATCTTCACTTATCATGTTGAACATGACCTTGGACCCGTTTGGAAACTGTTCTCAGTTTAGTTTTCTGTTTTTATTTTTAAAGTTGCTTCTATTATCTAATATTGGACGGCTGGAAAGGCCATGTTATTTTGTATATTGAAATTAATATTTACAAATTCATATTTCAAGGAGTATTGGAGTAAGAACAATATATGTCGAGTCAATTACTATTTTCTGCTTTTCAGTACACTTTATCACAATGGGCTAAATAAATATCAACTGGTAAACTTTCCCCTCCTATATTGAAGCATTAGCATGACAAGTTTCTTTGTGCAATTGATACAGATTTTTTTCTCTTACTCTAGATTCATATGTGAATATTAGCACAATTTGTCCTTAAATGTGCAATATGTGCCCAGTTAATAATTTTGGAATGCTATGTTCCTTTGTACTTTTCTAAATGAAACACAGGAAATTTCAAGATCAACTGTCCAGAAAAAATGCTATTAAGTCTGTTGGAAATGCTACAGGTGAGTCCCGTTCCAGCCTTATGATCATTTTAACTTCTTCGCATTTTTTACATTCAGTTACATATTGTGTCAATCGTTAAACAGGATACCTGAACTGACGTCGTGAACAACTTCTTGCTCCATGTTCTTTCTTTGCTTCAAATTACTCTCTACCTCGCATGTATTTCAAATACTAGGCTTCTGTTTATGCAAAATTGAATGGCTTGGTCTCCTTGCAGAAGGATCCCATGAACTGGAGGGAGATAATACCACAACTTCTTCCCAATCTATTGAGGAAAGGCTTATCAAAGTAATGATTCAATTAGCCAACGAAGAAGAAGAATTCCTATCAGCAGAACAGATTCAAAGTCAGGTGAAAAACAATTCTTCCAAATATTAGGGAGAAACCTACCTACTTTCTGCAGTTGAAATGTTGGTCAAAGTTGAGAAACTCTTTTTCTTGCCTGTGTATTAAGCTTTAAATCTCGCTGTTAACAAATCGCGATCAATCAAAATCAAGAAAAGAAAAATGGAAGCTGTAAATCAAGTTCTAGTAGGATCCATATCTTCATCTCAATAGGGGAAATGGTACTTTCAACAGTTTTCCATAGATCCTGCATTAATTCAAATTCATCTTGTCCCTCTCTCTCTTTCAGTGGAACTGTATTCTTAAATGATAATATTGTGTCTGCAGAATCGGCAAACGTTGATAAATCTGGAGAAAAGGAAGGCTGTGATGGTGATGATGGTGAAAGGAACAAAAGAATTGGAAGATTTGACTAAATATCCTTTTCAAATAAATTATCACTTTTGACATAACAGATTATTTTAATGTATGAAAAATGCCCTATTAACATTCTAAGTGCTAAGATTTCTTCACTAATATTAATTTTTTAAATACTTCCTGTATACTACTGCTTTACCTGGTGTCCAAAAAAATAGAAGCAGAAAGGTTAGCAATAGTAAGTTTACAAAAGATTTGCTGTTATTGTACTTTATCATTATATCATTAAGTTTCCTTTTCTGATTCAACAGAAGCAATGCTTTGTAGTCAAAGTCAATTGCTGAGAAATATAGAATGTATTTAAATCTTACTATATCTATTAATAATCTTTTACCAACTTTGGACACTTCCGGGTGATTATGTTTCTTTGACCATCAATAAGCAGACTTCTGGACTGGAAATGTCATATGGTCGTCTCAGCGAGGAATTGCTGAAAAGTTGTATCTGCCCTCAATGTTTCCAAGACAATACGGAGGCCTTGGACAACATTCCTCAGGTAAATGAGGCCCATTGAAATTTTCCAAGAAACGTAAAATGTTCTGTACTGTAGAATTTTAGATATGCAAAATCAGCAGGTAAATTTCAGAGCAAATATAGTAGGATACTCACCTCACCATTCTAATTTCTAAGTATGTCAAAACATTTTGCGTAACTTTCTATTTTGTCTACATATATTCACAAATTCAATTAAACCCAGATAGACGGTGTAGAATTTTTCTTTTAAAAAAATTGAAGTGAACTTGAAGGAGACCAAGATAATTCAAGTCACTTCTTCATCTCCCTACATACCCAGCTTGGTCGTAAGAGCTGAGCTCCCAGTATCTTTCTTTCCCTTGAAATTGTTCTATATGTTTGTTCTATATGAATTTCGCACCCATGGTGACGATTCTTCCCTATCCTTTACCATCAATGCTGCCAAGGTAGATTTTGCTTCTTCATTAGTTTCGCCCTTCACCTGCATCATCAAGGTTATGTTTTCAAGATCAAAAGTACAAACCTCCTGAAGTTCTTATCTGAAAACCAAATTTGGTTCTATCCAGATCAGTTTGATAATGATTATATATATCTGTTGTTAGACCAGTTCTCTAGGGTACAGTAAAGAACTAAAATGTTTGCTAATGAGAGTTTACCATCTGTTTGGGAGGCGGTATGGAGGGAAGAAATTTGCTGAGGGCAATAACCCTTGGGTTTGTAGATTCCAGCAGCTCAATCTGTGCTAAAAATTGCGCAGAGACTGGCCTGTGATCAGAAAACTTACTCTCACTTCTGAAATAGGAGAGTTGCCTCACTCCTTTTCCATACCATAGAATTCTGTCACACCTGCCAAGTTACATAAATCATTTAGTCAATTACTAGCATTCTTTACCCTCACTCTCTCTGTCTAACTTTTTTTCCCCATTTTTTTTTTTTTTTTTGGGCC